TATAAACCTTTGTGTAAATTTCTATGTAAACACTAGCCAAGTCCGTGTTACTAATAAACAAAAAATCATAAATTAAATTACATGTATTTATTTAACTTTAGTTTTAATTTCAATAAAATTACTTTAAATCAGGCTTTCGTGCTTTGTACATGTTTGCGATATTTCTTAACCGTCTCATCGATATTATAGATTATCAATCGATATGTTAAATCACATTATGTTAAAAAATGATTATAATATTAAAATAGTAATAATAAAATACATTTAAAATACGAAATTGTAAAGAAAGGGCAAAGTGGAATATCTATTTCAAAGTAAAAAGTAGTTACGTATGAAATAAATCAGACGGTACAGTATGACACGTCGCAACTCATGACAGCATGAAAAGAAAAGATAGGGTAAAGATCATGTCAAAACTTAAATATTAATATTCGTTAAAATAAACAAAAATTGAATGATTTCTATAAAATAATACTTACTGACTATTAATATAAGACAAATAATATTTACTGACTATTTGTCATTATTTTAACAAGTATTATTTATACTGGGAATTTCTTTTTTGGACATCCAAAGGAAAGGAAGGGCATGGAGAAAAAGAAATAAATTTCTACACTTACTCTTTATAATAGAGCATAGTCCCATTTAGCTTGAGACAAAATGTTATTAAAAATGGAATTAAAATGGAGATGACTAATCCTAACGCGAAAACAAGCCAGAAGAAGATTTCTCTTGTAAACTTGAGCATAGGGTACAAGAAAATCGGTGACAGCCAAACAAGTTGCATATCAGTCGCCAGATACCAAGACTGAGACATGCACTAAAAGTAGAAATAAAAAATAAACAATTATTGAGCAAGTTATTTTTTTTATTCCTTGTGTATATTTTTTTTATTATGAATAAGTCGAAATACGAATATTTATTAAGTGATGATGCAAATTGACTAAATAAAATGTATACTAATATAACCAAATAAAATGTATACAAATTTATTTCATGAAAAATCTTTTGTTACTACTTAATTGGTTAAACAATGCACGTAAAATAATTACATCAGTTACTAAATTTTACTTACAATTCTAGGTAAATGGATATAATTATTCAAGTAGAGCAAGTTAAGCCACCAGTTTTCTCGACAATAATCTCTATTGGCACCAACCCATTGGTCCCAATGTGGGCCCGAGCTAACTTTATAAAATAAGGTAGCGTAAAATCCAATCATCATAGCATATGCTGGAGTTAATCTAAAATAACGATGGAGATAAAGACTGATCACATCAAAATGATCTTGTGAATTCTTTTCACTTTTTGTTAAGATTGTATATGCCATTAGAACTCCGCTTATGAGGAAAAATGTATCGGTGATGATGTTTCCATTGAGTACTAACATGTTGGCCCAATTTATATGCATCTTAAAAGATAAGAAAATTTGATTAATTTATAAAAGATTGTATAATTATTTTGTGGATCATGTTTATATATACTTGTGTATTATGATAATTTAACAATGTTTCGTCTTTTAATTCAAGTATCAATTTTTACCTGTGGAATTTCACTCAAATTCATTTTAACGCCAACCACCTCCGTATAATGAGTATGACCGTAGATAATCCAACAAATACTAATATAGCGCAGTCCATCAAGGCATTTGATTGAATCGCGGTGTCTGTCTGTTTTCAATAAATTCTTCCCATTCGTGTAGATGGAGAACGAAGTCAGAAGAATATATTTCTTATCTGAACAGATATGAAACAACATTATTCGTATATAATGAATAACATTAAATAACATAACATGAAATTTCGATTGTTTTTAATTTTATTAAATTTTTTATTTTTGTATAAAAAAAAAAATACGAGATTAAGGAATATCGGAAATCGTATCGACAGTTATTAATCAATAAGAGTACACTGATAAAGCTCTTATGCAAGGCAAACAAAGTGTCCTTAACACTGATGCTTATCGTACGACCAAGAATATTTATCGGTCATACAAGATGTAATATCTCACAGTCTGATCTTTTCCTTACTTCTTTCCTCTTTGCAATGAGAACAAGATAATGTGATCAAACGATGGATTCATAATGAATTTTCATTTACGTAACAGAATGAACAGACCTCACCTTTTCGGTTCAACGTACTCAGATGGCCTTGTTTAACGATGTCGTAACTCGTGCTGGCAATTATGATTACCACGAATATCGCCAGGGTCGATCTGAAATTTGATATGATATGTCATTAACAAGTCACGGATATACATAGATTAAAAATTATTTGTACAATTTTTAATTACAATTATATTAATTACAATAAAAATATGCAAATAACTGTGACAAGCAGTTAGTAATTGTATAATAATGTAATAATACAAGTATCATATAAATCATCATATTATAATTTTTATTGCTATTATATTATAATATAATTATATGTTACAATATATGTACAACGATAATAATGCGCAAAATAGCAACGCTCTGAAGATAAAGAACCTCATCTAATCATTATAAAAATAAAATTAAAATGTCTTAATAAATGAAAAAAAATATATATAACTTTGAATCATAATAATAAAAGAAATGAAATTTGAATTTGAGGAACTATGCAAAAAGGAAAAAGAATTGTGAATTTCCATAGTTTCAAAAAGTTCAATTCAGATTTATATTTCAGCAAAGACTATTGAATTCTCTTAATTATCCCAGCTCAATCCAAGTGTTACGATATTTTAACGTAATAGAGATTAAATTTTAATTGAGAAGTTTGCCATGCAATGCACGTGTTCAGCCTTGCCCTCGAAGCAGTGAGTAAACAACGACGCCAACATAGTCTTGCGTTACTGCAGAAACCACCGCCTATTGGAACACGATAATATGCGCAAATCTAGCTACATACATGTAAATCCAGTCAGTTACGTCGAAAACCGACTGATCTGTTTCTGCGGTGCGACACGATACGTTTATCACCATGTCCACGCGATCCTCCACCTTCAGAGGGTCGAGGCCAAGCTCGGCAGCCTCCTGAATATCTGTAATATTACAACTTGATGGAACGCACCACATCCACTCGTAGTTTACTGATCGTCCTGATTTCCATTTCGTGTATCCCTAAATCAAACAGAACGAATACTTTATTCAAATTGATAAAGAGAAAGTTACTTTTGTATATAATTTAAGTTATTTCCACATTGTATTATTAAGTTCATAAATGATATGAAACACAAAAGCACGTATGTAGTTCGTGATTAAAAATTCGGATCAGTTTGACAAACAATGATATCAACTGCTTTCAACTTGAAAATCGATAATTTCTATGCGATAGATGGTGAATGGTTTGATAACGATTAATAAGATCGAATAATGATAATGCGTTTGAGCAATGACCGATAAGCTGTTAAATATATCTAAGTTCATGTGTTATAGTGATAAAAAAATACAATCTATTTAGTATTATTTTTCAAAGCTTACTTAGTTTAGAATTTGTGAAATTCATTTGAAACCTTTAATTATATAGATTACTACTATATGTATTATTTCTTTCTACAAGCTTAAGAGTCAAACAAATAGGATCAGAAGTCAATATTTCAATTGGCAATACCCTGAATAAAAGGACCTTTGTAATATCTGTATCAAGGGCTTCTGCATTGCAAAACTGCAACACCAATCTTTTTTGATATATAGATATATTTATTAATTTATTTATATTTGCTTGTAATATTCTATATATGATTACATGATTATATTTGAAATATATGCAATGTATTCGAAATTTTAGAAAATTATTTTAGATTTTAGACTAATTTAGACTGTAGTCTAAATTAGTAATGCTATTGTTAAAATATGCACTATTAATTAAGCATTAAATATGTAAATGATTGTCTCTGAAATTCTAAACTAATCAAATTAAACAACTTTCATATGAAAAATTTATTCACAATTTTTAATGGCTTGAAAATTACAAATCTTTTTTTTATTTTTGATTAATTTAAGAAACTAAAATTTTTTTGTAGTTATTGACTTTATCGTTCTTAAAGATTAATTTCTATGTTTATTGTAATAAATTGTAGAGGGCGTAATAAACGTTTTTTTCGAGGTCGGTATTTCAGAACACGTGATATATCTGTGATATAAAGCTTTAAAAAAAGATTTTAAATCTTTAATTTAATTTTACTCTAATAATTGATCACTCATTATCAATTCATAAATAAAAATTAAATTAATTTTTCATATATTAATATGTAGCATGTTAATTAGCACCACAACATTACAATATTAATAATTAATTATATGTTAATAACTAAATTATTAGCATGTAATATTAATTATTAATATTGGCATTGTAATAGCACTTAATAGCATTTAATAATTAATTATTATATTAATCATATATCAATAACTAAACTACAAACTAAACAATTAATTATTATATTAATCATATATTAATAATTAAATTATACTTTTCTTTACTTATTGAAATAATTAATATGAATGACATAAATTGGTATATTTTGAAAAAAAATGGATTACAAAAACATTCTCTTTTAAATATATATTTTTTACTCGACAAATATTTATGTAATATATTTACATAAATATTTTATTTTATATATAAAATATTTTTCACCAATAAATAAGTATATACAATGTTCTTTCTTTAGAGGCAAAGTTCATTAAAAGAAATCTCAATATGTTTCATGTTACTGGGAATTGCATAACATTTTTCGATGTTATTTAAGAAATGTGACGTAATTGCGAAACTTTGGTCACCTGGTTAAGTAAGTGTACAATAAATTTCGATTGCCTGAGTTAATCTTTGACAGAGAAGAAACTGCTACTCCTATAATTTCGGTTTAAAAATATTTCTTTAATTATTATGAAAAAGATTCTTGGCTTGATTTTTTGTTAATTATATTAGATATCGGATAGTTTTTTATTAAATTATTTAATTTTAATCATTTTTGTATCTATCACAATATACACTGCAAATACGATTATTCTTCAAATACGATTTTCTGCTGTATTCCTTCATACTCGTAAAATATAAAATTTTACGAATTTTATTTTCTTAACTTTATTTAACATTAATATTAATTATGTATATTAAATATTAATTATTGAAAACTGTACAATATATAGCTCAACTACATAAATCAAATTTTCCATTGATACCAAGTTTATTATAAATTACAGTTATAAATTATTAACTGAAATTCTAGAAATGTTAGCTTATTATTAATAAAAAGGAAAAGTCACATAAACTTTTCCATGTACCTAATATAGTTAATATATGAAATTTTTTCGTATATTTATTATTTCATATAATATGTATTTCAACTTAATTTAAAAAGAAAAAAAGTTAATTATTATATTTTTATAATACGTATATTTTGTAAATGAAAATTAATCGAAAACTATATTGACTTGATTGGAGTTTACTCACTGAAGCGATGGCTACATTCAAAAGCAGATCACCTATATCAGGTTGGCGTGGTTTACCGTTGTCCTTTGCGATTTCAAAATTCACCGTGGCACTACAGGCCTTCCCGGTGAATCCGTGTCCGCTTTTCACTTGCAGACACTCGTCATAATTGCCCAATTGCTGATAATTGCCCGTGATTACACCTGATGGAATTTTCACGGACGCATCATACACTAGAATTCAAAAAGAGGTCTTTGCACTTTTCTCTGTAACCTTTTCTCTTTTCAATTTTTCTTTCTTTACTTGTGTTCTTCATGTGTCATTGATAGAATATTTATACAAATATTTATAAAATCAAACTTAAATAGAAAATTGTTCTACTTGTTAAATGTTATAAATACTATGTTTTAAATATTTTACATTATATTTATATATTATGTGCAATCTACAAATTTTTCATAAATACATAAATATTCATCGTCTATTCTTTTGAAAAAATGATCATGGAATAGTGTTTAAACAAAATATTTTATGACTTTTGATAGCATTAATCTTATTCAAACTTGTGTAGTATCTTTACCTAAATTTGAAATAATAAATTAATAAAAAGCAATTATATACAAATTTAATTAATTAATATTTAATATGAATTTCAAATAAAGAAAGTATAAAATTTTGAAAAATATTATAAAAAGATTTGTCACCTGGAATGCTCTTCTAATAATACTAATTTTTTTTCATGTTTCATGTCATTTATCCCTAATATTATAAATACATATATGCTTATATAATTTTTCTTTACGTAGGATTTGTTATTTTGTTATTTATTGTACATTGTTCTCTCCCCATCTTTCGTTTCATTGAATCCTTTGGATAACTTTTTTTATTTTTCTACCCTTTCATAATATAATTTTTAAGAGTTTGTGATACATTATTCAAAATTAATTAAAACTTAATTAGAATAACTTAATTGGAATTTTTACTTTTTAAAAGGTTTCACTGACGTGACAAATAGGTTAAGTGTTTTCCTTGCATTGCATCGTTCACATAAACAAGCTTCTCGTTCTTGATATTTATTTTGAAGTTGATAAATAGAACGAGAGCTTGTATTCCTCGAAAGATATACACAATATATTTAATCACCAAAAATTAAACACTTCAATCCATTTCAAATTCCTTTGTTAATCTTATTACTCTAATTTATTAAATTCCGTTGGTAATTATACGCAATGTATAAATCATGAATCGATTTTTCGATTAATGTATCGAACGATATATTTTAATTGTCATACGATATGAAGTTGCATCAAATAGATACATATATATGAATTCAAATGGAAGAGGCATACATATTGCGTTATGCTAAACTATGCATCATAATACATAGAGTGAATAACCTCAATTATAACTGAAAGACCATCGTATGCTGCGGTATATCTGCCTGAAGGTATTTTTCATGCTTCTTCTGATTTATTATCCATGATCGAGTGACATCTCGATTGTAAGTACGATTTTTCTTTTTATGCATAATTGCTCGTAACAAAGACGTTAACATTTATTTATTTCTTTTATATTGCCAGATACAACTCTTCATTACAGCTTTTACACATGCTTTGAAGTTAATAACTGATCAATCTGAAATTAATTTTATTATAAAAACACATTTTTACATGAATATTTGTAATTTTTTTATAACTACAGAAACAATGGAAATTTTAATCCTCAAAATATCATTTATTAAAAAAATTAAAAAAAAAAGAAAGGTAATTTCTATACTATTTTTTAAATATTGGACACATTGTATCCTTTTGTTTTCAAACTATCTAACAAACTTTTCTTTTCTAATACAAATAAAACTTAATATTGATACCTCTCCTACACGGAAATGCGGTAGCTGAGAAACACGGATCAGTACGGATAACGCGTAAATTGCGAAACAGGTCGACCGATAAGGGAAAGCAGGAAAAAGTGATGATGCGATATAACGGATTTTTCATTAATGCTCGATAGCGAGGACACGCCGATCACTCGCAAACAACCGCCTTGCAAACGGGTGGGAAACGAGTTAAATGATTCTACAGTATCATCTATCTAAACAAAGTGCATCGATGTACACAACGCGCGATCGTAACGTGTAAACACACCATGTTACATAAACTAACGAGCTCAGAAGCATTGCGCAAAATTGTAATCGTAAAACCTTTTGTCTCCTTTTTCGTGAGAAAATTGAACCATCCGGAGAAGAATGGTTCATCTCTAAATTTATCATTGCAATGCATTGATACAAAAAATGTTAGAGGTTTGTTGTTACACAAGTCATTCAACTCTGATTTTAATTACAATTAAAGAGCTCATAAGAACGGGGTTTTGCATTCGTTTTTTTTTTCTTACTTTTTAGATAACAGTCTATACAGTAATCAGAAGTGAACGAGATAATGATTGTACGTTCTGGTTTATTGTCGATTGAAAATTAAACGCTTCTGTGAAGACTGTTGTAGAACTTTATCAAAGTTCTATTAATAATATATAATTTAATTCTCTATCATACAGTTATCAATTGTACAAAATAATGAAGATTTTATTTTACAGAAATTGAAATTTATTCAGCGAACATAGAAAACGCTGGAGTATCCGTTTTTCTAAAAAATGATAAACATGGATAAAGAATTGTTTTTATTATGCAATTTCTCCTCATTGGAAACTCCACTTAATGATTTGAATTAACTGAATTTGATTTAGAATAACTTCTAAATAGACCTATAGAATAATATCTCTCCTTAAAAATTTCACTTATTATTTATTTACATTTATTTAGCTATATAATATTTTTATTTTTAACTATGCATGTAATAATAATTACATTTTTATAATTATTTGAAAGGATCCATTGACGATTTTTCGTGTCAATGACTACTGTGCGACCAGAAAATATTTAGAAACATATCTACACAGTCGGATGTCTTCTACCTTTCGGAGAACCTTGAAATCATTCATTCGACGGATTTTATCGGTAACCTTCAGCCGAAAGCCTCGGGGGATCATTGCAATTTTATTGTTCACAAGTTTTTTTCTTCTTTTTTACGAAGAATATCTTTTGGCAAAAAATTTGCCTTGTAAGAGCACAAAGATTGGCAAAAGATTTAAATGAAGGCTTATCTTATCTTATTAAAGATACTACAGAAGTAAGAAATTTTGAAATTTAGAAACGTATTGAAATGAGAAATTTAAAGTTTAAAATATTTGCAATTGGTATAAAATTTACAATATACCAAACGATTAAATATATACAAATATATTTATAAATATATAAGTACTAATAATGAGTGCAATAAATGCTCAATTTTTCAAACATTTTTTTAGTCCTTTTAGAAATTTTTTTCATTGAACAAGCGACAATGAAAAGAAGAACATTTTCATTTATAGCTTTAGCTTTTAAATTTTTTTTAGAAGTAACAATCTTGGCAATTGACTTGTTATTTAAGCGCGCATTTGCAGTGAATGAGCATTCTAAGGTCATGACTTGCAGTTTCATTTGCTTCCCCATCGATATCTTCATCGATGACGGCCGAGTCATATTCTCAATATCGCTGTAAGTATTCTTTTTTTTTTT